TCCCTGGAAGGTCCAAAAGCTTCGCGGGCCTGCTCAAGGAGCCATGTACACTGACATGAGGTGTGCTGTCCCCAGCAGTCACACGCTCCCATGCCATCCCCACTCCTCAAGGATGGTCCTTTGCCTCATCCAGGAGAGGAAAGACGTTTACTTTCACACTTCCAGTATCCCCCAGGGGAACTACAGAGGAGCAAGATGCTGCCAACAATAAAAACATGGCCAGGATACTTTGGCATACCCAGAAAGCTATTGCAGGGCAGGATTCATCTCACCTGGCACTGGATGGTACCAAGCAGACATCTAAGCCATCTCAAACCCTGTTTTATCATTGTAGAGACTGGCACTACTAATGCATGAACCATCTGACTAATCATACCCCAGAAGTGTCTGTGTCCCACCACGGGTGCAGACAGTGCCTGTGGCAATGAGGCCGAGCATGTCGGGCTCTGGACGTGGTGGCAAGCCAAGGAACCACGCAGGAAATGATCCCGAGCTGACCTATCATTTGTATGTAGTTGAAGAGGAAGTGTGTATGAGACTTTCACTCTCAAAGGTCTCCTGGACTTTCTCCTCCTTGGCAGCCAAAGAAAATTTCTCCTTTTCATCTAGAAATGAAGATGAATTTGTTCCAAGTGTAAAGCAATCCCAGGCCTTTAATGTGAGTAACAGCCTCAGTAACAAGCATGACAGCCTTGAGCTGCACCTCCTGTGCAGGAGGTGGGCTGTGCACACAGCTGTGATGGGGACACTGGACAGGGCTAGCATCCCGTTTGGCCTGTTCCCAAATGGCATGCTAAGGTCCCCAAGACAGGCTGGGTGCTGCAGAGCCGGGAGGTGCAGAATGCAATACAAGTCCGAGCAGAAGCCGCCTTCACTTGTCAGGGCCCATTTGTTTGCGTGGGATGCTGTCCTGGACACGCTCCCTTCAGGAGGAGGAAGGATTTTTGGAGATTGAAATAACTGGGTGGCTGGCATGCAGCTCCCCACTTCTTTCTCTGATTATTTTTTAAAGCTCCACCTGAGCAGAACCTTCCAGTGTGCAGGGCAGTACCAGCCACTCCAGGAGGGCTGCTTGCAAGACACCAGCTAAGTGATGCTGAGAGGCCTCCTGGATCAACTGTGCTTCTGCTGGCTCTGAAGCATCGTCGCTTTGGGCCAAATCCCTTTGCTTCAAGCCCGACTCCCTGCAGGGCTGCTGCTCCCAGCTAACCACGCCCTCCCTTCGCAGCATGCATTGATGAGACTTAGCTCCTCGCAGAAAACTCTTCCCCGCAGAGTTGATTTATTAATAGGTGAGGGGGGAGCAGTTCTCGCCCCTCTCTCCTGCTTGCTCACTAGATACCAGTTTGGCAGCCAGCAGCAAATCCCATTAAGGCAGTGAGATACTTAAAGGCATCAGCAGCTCCTGGCCCATTACAAGAACAAGCGGATGGACCCTGGTAATGTACATCCGAAACTGGTTGCATCCAACTGGAAGCAAGGATCCTACCAAGATAAATATTAATAGAGACTGCAAATGCAGGGATGGGAATCAGTTCATTCATTAAATGTCTCTGTCTATATCCAAGGGACCAACACAGGATTTTAAGAGAGGAAACAGCGACAAGAAAACCCACAATGAAACTCCCCATATATTTCCCTTTTGGGCCACGAGAATGGAATTCACGGGTAGCCTGTCATGTCTGACATTTCCTAATTAGCCTATTAAAGCCCTGGCTGGCTTTTACATTTTCTAGATGAAAAAGGTGGAAAGTAGATGAGCAGAGGCTAAAACCAGAGCAATAACTTCCTCTGTGCATCTGTTATAGCTGTGCAGATCTGACCTGCAACAGCCCTGTTTATTTTGCTTGTCCTGGAAACCGTGACAGAGAACAGTGCGCAGCTCTGCGAAAACTTGAGATGCACCTGCTACCGGCAGAGAGGAGATTGCCAGCCCTTCTTCACCATTAGGTCAGGCTGTGGTCGCAAGCTTGTTCTCTTAACAACCCTCCCTGCTGCTCCATGCACGACAGCCTGTCACCAGGTCTTGTTATGCATTTAGCTTCAGAGCACATACTCTTGCACATACCGCTCAGCAGCTCAGCTGCCCAGAAAGGACGCAGCAAAGATGGCATGCAAAAAACTCATGCCTCTGACAGAACTGTCCACCAAGGCTTGGCTCTGCTACTTGCTAAGATTCCATGTGCTGAGAATGAATTAGTCTTCCTCCACTCCCTCTGCCAAAACCGTATTAACAAGATGTGTGCACGATGGAGGGAAGTCAGATTCCTACTGGTGCTGCTGCTCTGCTGCCAAGTTGCTTCGCCTTCCTCTCTGTATGCATGAAACCAGCCCCTGTCCTGCTGGGTAACACAGCTGGAGATCCAGTTCAGGAAAGCAATGCCCAAGAGCTAAGCATTGTCACCTTGCCGAGCATGGGAGCATCCTTATCTGGCCTCCTGCCCCGCGCTCCGGGCACACAGTCAGTAGTGCAGCTTGAGACCGAGCATGGCTCCCAGAGAAGCATGGGGCATCCTGCCCACAAGGTCCGAGAGCAGAGCTTTTGCTTTTCTGCACCTAACCCAGAGGTTCAGGTGAGAAGAGTGGCATCAAGATGCCCCCCTGCAAGTGCCCCAGGGCCCCCAGCTCCCGACATCACCGCTTTCTGCTGCAGGATGGTGCCACTAAAGCCACAGCGCTCATGCCAACTGCTTCGCTCCTCAGGCCTTCAAGTCAGGTCTGGACACTAAATCCTCATGGTGGCACTGCCAGGACACATGGCTTCAAGCCCGTCTTACATACCCACCCCTACTGATACGCACCTGAGAACTTGTTGCGTCACCAGCCAATGCAGTGATCAACAGGACACCTTCTCCTGTCTCTGCACGCACATGCCACACCACCACACAGCATGCGGCTGCCTTGGTTAGGCTATCAGGGGATCAGAGTTGGTTAGTAAGGGGTGGGGTGGCTGTTTTGAAGGTCACACACTGCCTGCACCCCTGAGAGCTATCACTGGGGTACCTGAAGGGAAGTTAAAACAGGAAACCATGAGTGAAATGGTTTTGATGAAGCCCTCAGCGACTGTTACTGCCCGCACATGAGGGCAGAGCTTTTTTACATTTCTCCATGCCCTCTTTGCCACCACAGAGAAGCTCCTTGTTCCATGCACATACAGACCCAAATTGTGTTTGCCGCAAGATGAGCTCGCAGGTGCTTTTGAGAGTACATTCCAGATCCATACCCAGAGTTTTGCATCTGCATGTGCAGACCCATCTAGCTGACCCAGTTTCCATGCACAAAAAACTCACTTCTGCTTTTTGTTCCCCTCCACCCCTTTGAAATCAAAGAGGAAACTGAGGAGGCTCTGATTATTTGGAGAAGACAGTCCTACCCATCACCCACTGATACAACCCTGCCTATAGAGAAGGGCCTGATTGTCAGCAGTGCTGACTGCCAGCGAGGGCTGAAGACTTCAAGCAGGCGGGGATGGCGCAGAGCATTTCTGAGAACTATGCTGCCACTTTCTTCTTTCTTTTATCAGGTCAGGAGGTTTTTGGTGTTGGTCATGGTCAGTGACAGTGGCAAAAAGTCAAACTTAGGAGCCTGTTTAAGGTAACAGGCACTGTTGTTGGGTGACATCTGACGGGAAATCCTGCCTGCATCCATAGTATTGCACAGAGTCACATGCCACAGAGTTTTAATGATTTGTGATGGATGATTTCCTATAGGCCTCTCCAAAACTGAAACTAGCTTCAAGCTCCAGACAATTTTATAGGAGAAAGTGGTGTGTCACCACAACAAGTCAAAGTTTTGGGGCTTTCTCTATTATTCTGCTCCTCTATGTTAAGCTGACCAGTAGAAAGAAGACCTAAACCAATTCATTAACTCATCATGTAATTACTGTTTTATCAACTGATTTAAAAATATATATCTAACATAGCAATTTAAATTGGAAAAAAAATGTGATGACGTTTGGTTTCAGACTGCAACATAAATAAAGTTGTAAGGCACAGTTATTTGGATCAGTATCTCACAGCTGGCAGTCTCTATAACAGATGTTTTGAATCTTACTGAATATTAAGCAATATTGCCCTATTGAAAAACCAAGAGATTATTCCCTTACTTCCCTGCCTTGTCTTTGCTGCAGGATTACTTGAAATTACTCAGTCATATGAAATTGGAAAGTCTATTTGATCTAAAAAAATAGAGGTGGGATGCCTGACTCTAAAGGTACACGCAGGGGATGCTCTGACACCTCTTTACAGAGCTCAGCTCTGCTAATGAAATTCCAGTGTGCAACATCTATCCATACGAAGTGAGAGAAATCCTGCAGGTAGCTATGGAGCAAACGTTAATATTGGGATGAGCCACTTGGTCAGCATTTACTCCCATAGCGATGCAGGCAACAGGAAGCTTGGATGCCTGTGAATGGGGTGAGCTCCTACAGGAGCGTTAGCACTGAAACCACCCAGCCTTCCTGCGCTCTTCCCCTTACAACCCGCTCCAGTCAACGCTTCCTCTCAAGCCCTTAGCTTTGTCCCTTGTGTGTTAGACACCCAGGACTGCAAATGATACACCGCAGATCTGCTGCTAGGTCAGGCAGACGAGCATGAGAGGGAAAGCCCTGTGTCCCTCTCCTCCTCCAGCCCACGCCACAAACTGCAGGCTCCATGCTCTGCTTGGTTCAGCGTCCCTGCCTGATGCAGAGCAGGGCACAGTGTGGATGAGAGGAAATACATTAAGACTCATTCTGTTTTAGTGCATGAAGGCTGCAAAAATAACCCTGTTTTCCTGTAATAAGAGGTTGATTAGCTCTTCTGTTGATCTGCGGGTGCTCTTTAAAGAAGGCATTTCTGGACCAGCTGTAGCCTTAATTGAGGCAAATCATGTCATTTGTTTGAACTGCTCTACTTGTGCAGCTCTGCATTTAGCTTGCAGAAGAGGCTGAAAGATAGCATCAATCCTTCAAGACTGTGCTGTGTACAGGGCTCCAACATATGCAGCCACCTGGGTATCTTCTACGACCAGGGACTTTTGTTCTGAGATGCTGTTGCAGCAGTGGGTCTGTCTGGCAACGACTGTAGCATGGCCCTGGCAGTCAGGGGCCAAGCAGTGTTTGTCAGCCCAAACCTCTCCAAGGCTTTTATGGATGAGCAGACAGCTGGCTGGTGGTGGTTGATCTCTACAGGAGGGCTCTCATCCGTGACTGGCCTGAGGAAAAGAGAGAAACACTGTAGCGAAATCGCAATCTATATTTGAGCATCAGCCTTCTCCCCATTGGCTCTGCCATCTCCCGCTCCGAAAATTGAACTGAAAGCTGCCAGGCCTGGGAACAGCACAAGGCACGCCAGCTTCCCACACAAGGCATGCACTCTTTGCCTATATCGCTCTATAATGACTACGTTAGCTTCAAAATCAAGGTGTCATGTCACAGCTGCTCCGTTTTGTTTCTTCAAAGAAGCAACGCGACGCTAATCTTACGGTAAGCGGGTTTTGAAATAACCATGTTTTTGTGCATGTCACACTTATCTAATGCCTACTTTATTTTCCAGAGCTCTTTCTAACATGAATTAATGTAAGTTTCAAGAGAAAAAAAACAAAGTGGGATGTCAGGACCTTATCCTGGGGTTTACCTGAAGAGAGTCTTGAACAAGCGCCACTACAAGAGCTCTGCAACAAACATGGGCATTGGCCTTGTGTGGGGAACATGGCAATGGAGCAGTAAGCACACAGGAAAATTCTGGGCTATTACTCAAGAAAATACAAAATTTCCAACGCTCAAGCTATAAGGAACATGAGAAAATGTTTCATTTAGTGTTAGACATCAAAGGTAAATGTCAGCACAAATAAAGGAGTTCTTTTTACAGAAGAGGCAGGAGACTCCAGAGACAACACAGAAGTCTGCTTTTTCCTGCTGTGAAATCCCTTCTGTTTTACCCAGAAACACTGCAGGCAGTGCTGCTGGCAGCGCGCATACCTGATGCTTGTTGATCCAACAGCTGCTGGTCCTGAAATAGGCTGGTGCTGCCCTTGGGATCTGGAGGCAGTCGGCACGTTGTGCTGGTTCAGGAGAGCAAGTTCCTTGCCCAGAGGCTGGGCCGAAGTTTCTTGATGAACCCTTGACTGGCACCGCTCTGTCCACTGCCTGTCCTCCTCTTGGCTGGGCATTTTTAGGTGTCTTATTCTGCGGTTCCTCATTTTCCAGAGTCTTGCTGCAACACCCTTTACAGCTGCAGGTGAAGCGTTTTTTGGAGGGGATGGAATTAGACAACAGTTTGAGTTGGAGAACACTGCTCCTTCCTGAGCCTGTGATGAACCTGAAACAGGGAAGGAAGCGCAGTGATTCACCAGTTCATCTTACTCTTAAATGACTGACCCAGTGACTGATAGGTTTCAGAGAACGCTGTGTGATGGAGCTGGGAGGGAAGATGTGTCCTGGGGCACACAGTAATATTCGCCTTGTTGGATTGCTTCCTCTGATAGCTGGAGGTTTGGTCTACTCGGTAGCCTCCCTGCCAGTACTGCTGGTGATGTGCCAAGCACTGGAACTGCTCATGAGCCATGCACAGCTCAAGAGGGACAGACTAGCTCACCCATCCTCCTGTTCTCAGGCAGGATCATATCTGCATAATTTCTGGCCAGTGTTTGTCCCGACTTGTTTTAAACACCTAAGGACCCCATCCAGCAATCTGAAATTCAAGCCACAGGAATAATCACAGATACGTGGATTCACTTTTTTTCTAATCAGAGGCAGAGGTGTAAGCATGAGGTTTGAGATTAGCCTTAAAATTATGGGAAGTGTTTGACAGCTAAGGAAAACATTGCACCACACGCTGGGCTACTATCTGGCTGTTCATATTTCAGCCCATGTACTCCTCAGGTGTAACACACAGAGCAGAAAAATCTTGTTGCTGTCTTATAAACACAATGTGCATGCATATATGCTTGAAACCATTCTATATATAGCAGGGATCCGATTGCTCTTGTCTATTAAAAGAACTGACTGTATCTAAGCACCTGATTGTGCAAGATCCAGGGCAGGAACGCAATTCGAAGAATGTGCCACCAAAACCCAGGCCCAGAAAGTTCAGCTTTATAGCTCCTAACTGATGGGGACGTATTTTACTGCTTAAGTAACTACATAAAACTGATATGAAATTTTCACTGAACAGTTTCCATCATACTAAAAGCTTTAAAAAAGTCTAAATTTCATAGGGCTTTTTATTTGTTTTTAAGTAAAGACACTCTGGAAGACTGGTATGCCTGACTCCAGAGCCTAAAATGACACTCCATGGCTTCCAAACAGTGCAGATTATATACATCTGATGCTGCAAACACTTTTAAATAAGAGTGGTTTCACTCAGATTACTTGTCCTTTCCTGGTCAGAAGGATTGTTTCCAGCAACAAGTTCTTCTGTGAGAAAATCACATTGGGTAGGACACACTTCTGAAGCTGAGCGTTGAGGCATTTAAATACCTCTCCAAATCTTGACACAGTCTCAAGTCACAGAGGTCAAGTATATTTTTAACTGCCTTGCTGAACAAAGTCTATCAGTTGCTGAAGTTTTATCCAGTATTTGCTCTGCAAATATGTCTGTTAGTGACAGTGGGCAAAAGCTACTGGGTTTGTGATTATTTGAATCTTGGTTATTATGGCCAGCTGCTTATGATTTGGGATCTGGGTCATCCACCCTCCCTGCCTTAGGTAATACCAGATTTCAAACCACTCCATCGATCTTGTAACCAAATCTTACCAGATTTGGTTACAAGATGGGCAGATCCATGCGCAACCATTCGCTTTTATAGTCCTATAAGGCATGACACTGGTACGCCATGAGATGTTTGGGGCATTGTCTACACAATCTAAAAGGATGACAAGATCATAATACATCATACTCACTCTAAAGAAATAATTTTGAATCTAAAAAAGATCACATTAAATCTAAAGAGACCATGAGATCATAATCTAAGACTTTTGTGGTCACTGGACAATAGGCCATTCCTTCACGTTTCTCCAAACAGCTTCTGTTCTTCTTAAGGAGATATTGTTTATATTACTTTTAATACACAGAGGCTTTGAATACTTTAATGATACTTCTGTTTTTTCCAAAGTATATGACATTTTTCCAAATTTTAATAGATCCATTTTTGTCCTTGAAAGAAATGTAAAACAAAAGCTCACGTTAATATTTATTGAGGAAAAAAAAGGTGATTATTAACAATAGAAATAGACTAAAGTTGTACTTTTGTAAGCTCTTCTACTTGATATAGATTTTGAATAACCATTATTAATGTTTCTAATGTTCTTAACTATGATACTCAACAAGCAGTGAAGAGCAGGATTTCTGCTTTCATTCATGCAAATGCAATTTCAGAGAGGTCTTTGGCTTTCTTCCTGTGTGGAACAGCACTTTTAATTTTTGAACTCTTTACTGAATGCATCCCTTTGGTTGCACGTCGTTCCAGAACTCCCAGTTGCCCACTTAAACCTTAATCATTAGCTTGGCCATTATGTCCATCAGCAACAACCGGGGCAAAATATAGCTCAGTTGGAACAACAATATTTTAGACTCCCCTGCCACTGCCATAAATTAATGGCACAAAGTAAAAGACAGAGGCATATCCTTCCTCTAGGCTTGATCCTAAGCTGGTGTCAGATCAGCTTTGTTCCTCTTAATTCTACAGATCCATGCTGAAATATATCAACTGATGGTCAACACACCTGGCCACCATGTCCTGCTTAAAAACTGGAATGCATTACTTAAGGTCTGGCTCTGCAGTGGTATTTCCAAATTCCTGCTCTAGAGCACAGAAGCCACATCTTGTAAAACACTGCAGTTACTAATACACCTATCTGTGAACGGTTAGTAGCACGTGTCACTACCCAATCTTAACCCTTCCCCAGAGGCTTACGTCCAGTACCTGAGGAAGACTGGGACAGACAGGAGGGGCAAGAAGAATCAAGAGAAATCCTTTCAATGAGGTCCTCATCACAGGTCTCCCTCAACTCATCTTCACAGCTGCCAGTCAGGCTGCAGTCTTCACCCTCTCCTTCATCACTAAGAGTCACCTTCAGTGCTTGTGCAGCTTCTTCTTGCTGACCTGTTTGCAGGCACCTGGACAACATCAAGTATCACACATTTAGTTAGCCTTTGAGCTATGAATACACAGCCAGCCAGGTGCAGTTTGGCGTGGCCACACAGGCAAACACCCAGACAGTGGATTTAGTCACCCACTGTGATTTCCCGCTTTACGGGAGATACAGAAAACCATTCTAAACATATCAGCCATCTAAGCTGCCTGTGTCTGATTATCTGAAAGTGTCCTACAGTTAATCAAGTGAAATAGGGCAGATTTAAAATACTACACAGCAAAGTAAGCTCAGAGAAATAAAGCCAGGTTTACTTCCAAAATAATCACTATCTGTCTATGAGATGGGGGAATCTCAGGGAAGTGTTATTTTCCTTTCGGCCTTTCATTTGGTTAGGACAATGTGATGCTGGCAGAAAACCTCATCCGTTTTCACTTCTTTCACTGGCTGAAGGTAGACACTGTCCAGGCCAAGAATGTCTTATCAGTCAGGAAAAGTAATTTCCTTGCTGTTGCTAAGCAGGCGAGCCCACCCTGCCTATGCTGGTCTTCAGCCTGGTCTAGAGAATGGTCAGAGCTTCCGTCCAGTTTCTACTCCCTTGCCCAGTCCGTGGACACTCCACTGGGGAGGACCAGGGGAAGGCTTGCCATTGAGGGGACAGCAAGGCAGGAGGCCGCGACTGTCCCTGGGAACCAGCACCAGGTAGCAAAGGAGTTTATTGTACTATTACAGCTGAAAATGAATGCCCGTTTTGCAGCACAACAATATTTCTCACCGCTTGTGCTGCTCTCTCTGTACACTCAGTTCAGAGAACACATCTTCCTGGTGCAGATCTCCTCCTCCTCCAGAGCTGTAAAAGTTTTCTGTCCTCAGACTGCAGAGCTTCAAAGGGCTCACTGCAGGTGGCTGCAAAAATGACAGAAGTTATCTCGATAACCTCAGGAGCTCTCCCCAGCTCCGCTTCTGGATTGTAGATTTTAGAAGGCATTGAAGTTCACTGTTACTCCTCAGTTTTCAGACCACCCCTTACCATTTTATTGCCCTTCAGTTTTATGAAGCCCCACGCCCCAGTCACACGACACTGTTACAGCTTGAGGAACCCAGGGTGGCAGTAACAAAAATGTTGATTCATATCTTGCTGGTGTATAAGCCTGTAGCATCCATGCCAATAAGTGTATTAAGACCAGTACCACAGAAACGGCATCATTCAGCGTATGACTGCAGTCCCCTTCCACACCCTACTTTAAAACACACAGTAATTCACTCAAATATTCAAATTTATTTCAGAAAAGCTTCCAGTACTCAGGCAGTGGCAGCAGAGAGACATAGGACAGACACATTTTTTCCAGCGGTTCTCGAACATCTGTTGTCAGCATTAAGTGAGGCTGCTGACAGCACAGTGATGCAAGTGTCCTGTACATGCTGTTTCCTTGATTTAGCACAGCCTGTTTAAACGTACACATGTGCATCCGTGGTGTGTTGCTGAGCCAGACTGCACCCTCTTATGCACATGGGTATCCTCTCACTAAGCTACTGCTCAGCCAGGATGATACAAAATGTGCCGCCAGCAGCTGATACATGATTTTCACATATTCCTTTACAGCTGATGGTTAATTGCTGCTAGCACATGGGCACCTTTGTAACATCAGGGCAATAGAATCTCCATCCTCCTCAGGAACAATTGCATGTTGGGGGACTTCTGGGCTACAGAAGACAGAAAGATGCCACAAACCACAGTGGGATTTCAGTTTATCCCAGGATTTATGGGGGTCTCCACACAGGAATATGAAGTACACAAGAAAAACATACACCTAGCTTTTGCCTTCTTGCACGGAGGGCCTTGGTGGGGTTCCCACACATAACTTGACCGAGTCCTAAGAGAAAAGTAAAAAGAAAATATTTTACTCCAGCGTTTAACTAATGGTGCTGTCTCTGAAATAAGTCAACATCATTTCCCATAGATAGGAGGATGTAATATTTTATTGCTTAGGTTCACAGTGTCAACTGGCATGGCCTGACACTGCTGCTAAGAGTCAGTTTCTCTGTTTCTACTAGAATCTGTCTCCTTCTGCTCCTGCCCTGCCTCCTCCACTGCGCTGGTGCAAACATCTGTGTGGCCAAATGGTGAGTCAGATCAGGGAACAGATCCAGATTAAAACTAAACATGATATTTTGGGTTTTTTCCTGTTTGTTGTGCTGGGTTATTTTTCAGCTGGATCTTGATCAGAACCAGGTTCCCCATGTGGCTATGCAGATGCTCTCGCCAAAAACAAGAGACAAGGCAGCAAAGGGGCAGGAAGAAGCAGTGAACATTGAGTGAAACTGACTGTATCAGTAGTGCTAGCTACTTAAAAGTGCACGTGAAATTATGGTGTCATTCCCCGGCTAGCTGTACTTGGTTTCCATGTACTTTTTCCAAATATGCACTCAGCTGTTGACACTGAATTGCTTCATCTAGTTCATCATCCTGAGTCCTACCTATAGCAAGAGACTGAGGTGGGACTGGTATCTGAGAGAAGCAGCCCACAATGCTGGGAAAACAAACACCATCTTCCTATCTAATCTGCATTCTATGGGCCATTGGAGTTGCACTGTCAAGGTCTTTCCAGGAGCCAGGTAAGGATGTCTTGGGAAGTGCTAAATATTGTACCAGAAGTGTACTCCCTTTCCATCCAGCTGTCCCCAGGAACTGCTAACTTGGCAGTACTTCCAGGTGGCCAGGGCACGAAGGGCAGTGGAATACATCTGTAGATCAGGTATGTAAAGTCAAGGAGCTGACTCCTTTTGTTGAGGGACCCACCCCTGGAAACCCAAAAGAAAGTGCTCATTGACAGCAGCAATGCTGCTGCAGTATGAGACTGCAGTACACATAGTTTGAGCATATCATCCAACAGGGAGTGCATGTGTATCACCATGCCTTTCTAGAGGATTATCTTGGACCACCCTCCTATGACTGAACAAGGTGACTTAAGTGAGTCCCAGCTAGGCAGACATGTAATTGAAAGGGCTGAGCAGGACAGCTTTTGACAAGGACCGAAAGGCAACTTCAGCAAAGGAGCACCATTGCAGTATGGGGCTGTCAAGAGGGACAGCAGCACATAAGGTATGGGGGTGAGGGTCTGAGAAGGCGGAAGCCCAGGTGACTTGCATCTGCTGCTGCAGGAAGAAATAAAGGAAAGCCCACGCTAGAGCAGGTGAGTCCCATGGATATGCTGAACCTGATGTAGCAGTGGCATGGGTGGGTGGTATTCAAATCACCCAGGCTTTCATCAGTCATAATAACATTCAGAAGTAGGTGGAGGTGTGGGAAAGAACAGGATTTAAAAACATACATTACCATGTGTCAAATCACTGGAGTCATCTTCTGGGAACAGCACATCAGAAACAGTGGGATCTGGAAGAGGACAGCCACTGTTCAACAGGCGGGCATTGATGCATGTCCCTGCTTTAGCAGACCACTGCGCAGTTCCAGGTCTGGAATTTGTCAGGGGTCTTGGGCAACATCCAGACTGCCTTGCTACTGCCCCAAGATATGGATCTGAGAGAGAGGTTTCACTAGTGTAAGCACATTTGTGCAAGGCTTCAAACCACACCATCATCGTCCACTGTCAGTACAGTGACTGCTGCTGCACACTTTAAGCTGTAGGGGACAGCAAAATCTGTCATTGCAGCTACAAGAAACATGCTGGAATGGGTCAATCCTGGAGACAGTGGGCTCCCTGGTGCTGCACACAGTCCCCTGTAGCTGCCCTCTGCAGACAGCAGAACCTGGGGCCCCACTACAAAACCAAAGTCCCTTCTCACCCTCCTCCTGCTCCTGGGCACCAGGGACAGGCTGCTGGCTGAGGATGAGGTCAGCAACCGCTCTGTGCTTGCTGCCTGCCTCCGATTGCTCCACCAGTGAACCCGGATGTGTCCAGGGCCCCACTACTTCCCCTGCCTGCATGCCTAGGGTAAGAGTAAGCTGCTTCTCATTTAACTGCCCACTTGCCTGCGGGGGGACCACTGCAGGTTTGCCACAGGCACAGTCCAAGCCCCCAGTCTTAAAATATATAGCTTAAATGCTCAGGCACAACACAGATGGTGACATTCACCTTACCAGAGCCATTAGTCAATCAGGGAAAACCACATACCAGGAGTTATGGAAATCTGGGAATAGCAGTGACAGATTTTTCCAGTACTGCCTCAGAGACAGATACTTCTCTACCACAGAAGGAAAGGTAAAAACTGAGTTTTTGTAAAGGTGCAGGGCAGGGTGGATTATACAAAAGCTAGCAAAGGCAGACAGAGCCTTGTCTTCTTACCTGCCCAACCGCCAGCTGCCCTGGGAGCACAGCACAGCTGTAAGAGCAGCATGTGCAGCCAACAATCCACAGGAGACCGAATTTCATTTTGGTGCCTAGATGAATAGTGTGCTTTGTAAAGTGTTGAGCATCTACCAGCTCCACATTGGAGCAATCAGTTCTGCAATAATACAGCCATTTCCTTAAGAGCTGAGTGTTAGGGACCTTTAAAATATCTTGGCCATCGTTGTTAATACAAACCCATGAAATACACAGTGCGTGAAAAGCACCCGAGTCAACATGGCTATAGAAAAGAAAAAAATATGGGGATGTCTAAACCTAACCATATGAGCTCATCAGGTTAGAGATGAAGGCAAGAATCTAAGTCTGGTTACACTAGGAAATAACACAAATTCACACTTCTGTGCTCTGTCCCTACCTTTTCTGTCAGCCCACTTTGTTAACTAGTTTTCTGAACCATAACTGATGTTGCCAAAGCAGGATCACTGAGGGATCAGATTTAAACGGATTTTTTTCCCTACCATAACTACTATTACAACTAATGATTTGGACCCACAGGGATTAAATAAATGACAAATGTATGTACTTATTCCAAAACAAATTAAATTTTTAATGGAGTACAGTTGGCAGGCAAACCACAACTAGGGGGACTGGGAAGCCAACTGCATTGCCCACACTAATGGGAAGCAACAGGAGCAGTTATAGGAAATACTTTGTAATATTTAATGGTATGTGATAAAGTCCATGTAGCATGATACGTAAAAGCATGGACATCTAAACTATAAGCAAGGCTACAGGCAAGGGGACAACAGATTTATTTTCAAACCATTTACTCTCTACTAATGAATGTAGTGGACTTCATCACAGAGGCAAAGAAAATAGAATAGATCTATTATGAGACCACGCAACCTCAGTTTCTAGGATGTTGCTGCCATTGATGGGTGGTGACCAAATTGCCTTTCCTGTTATGAAACTGGAGTAGGAAATCCTGCTACGTCCATGCTACATGGGATTGACTGCTACCATGGAAAAGGCTGTGAATAGCTGTTGTTGAAACATTCCTTTCCAAGCTTTGCTTCTGCCCATCACACAGAATAAATGTTAAGTACAGACTCTCAGCTACTGCTGGATTTGCTTGATGCTCTAGCACTTGTCCGCATTTTTCTGATCTTGATGCCCAGGTTCGGACAGCTTTCATTTAAATCTGCACTGTGCCAAATTCCAGCTTCCTCACTTCCCAAGTGAAAAAGACAACGTTGTCTTCATCCCTTCGCTATAATTAAACTTTGGCTTTGAAGAGGCCAGCTTGCTCTTCATCTTTCTTATTCTCACATCATAACCCAAAACACGAACCCCGGTAGGATATCTGACATACCTAACCATAAAATGTCTCCAACTAAACCACCTTCCTTGATGGATTCCTTGATGATTAGACAATCCTGATGCATCTTCTTTGAAGGAAGGAGAGCAGTTTGGCTTGCTGGTATTTCGTCCAAATAGTCCAAGTGGGGAATGATTTTTTTCACTTCAGCTCTGTAATTATAATCTGTTTCCTGGAGAAATTAAGAAAGCGGTCACACGAACAGTTTATTTAACAGACTGTGCACGTCCACCAGCAGCAGAGCAGTGTTCAACTTGTATGACTGTCATATAACTCAAAATGCCTTCTATGAGGCAAACCTATTCACCTCATTCAACAGAAATAAATACAGTCAGGAGTTTCATTTCACTGTGCTTTCTCCTCACATAATTTCTACTCAAATTGATCATTAACGTGTCCTGAGCAGTGCAAACACATGCTCGCTGCCCAGAGGCTTCTTTGCTGCTTACCCACTGATGACTTTTTGGCATTTATCTTTCTTACATTATGTATAACATACAAAAGTGTAGAAGGCCATTGATGCCCATGGAAAGCCTGGGCACCCTCAGCATTCAGCCAGCCTCTCTCCCTGCTTTTGCAATACTCAGGTGACAGGAAGACTTGAAAACATGTGAGTGTTGCTACATCTGCTAATGGAAAAAGAAAGAGCATTTCCAAGGATCCTCATTTTGGCTGGGACAGAGTTAATTTTCCTCCCAGTTGCTGCGGTGTTTTGTATTTAGTAGGGGAAGAATGTTGACAGCACTGATGTTTTCAGTTGTTGCTATAAATGAAGGACTCTTTCTAATTTCTCATATTCAGCTACTGAGCAGGTATGCAGGAGGAAGCATAGCCAGGCAGCTATCCCAAGCTGGCCAACAGAAATATTTCATACCGTGGGCATCATGCTCAGTTTATGAATGGGGTTGGCTGGGGGAAGGAGGCTATCGGCTTTTCCTGTGTTTTGAATCCTTTCTCGTCTGGGAGATAGAACTTTTTCCGGGAGTTCAGTCTTTTTCGGGAATTTTGTGAAATTTGTGAAAATCCGGGGGTCTGTGATCTCTGCTTGGGGACTGGCTGTGGATCGATCATCAGGTGGTGAAAATATTGTGTTATTTATAGATGTTTTGCATATTTATTAATATCATAGTTGCTGTTGTTATTATTATTTCTTTTGTTGTCTTATTAAACTGTCTTTATCTCAACCCATGAGTTTTCCCTTTTGTCCATTTCTCCTCCCCATCCCACTGTGGGGGAAAGGGAGGGGTGAGCAAGTGCCTGTCTAGTGCGCAGTTGCCAGCTGCTGGGTTAAACTGTGACACCCATAAACCAGCTACAGCGAATGAACTGCACTGATTTTCTGGGACAGTGTTCAGGGGATCAGTGTGTGATTTTACACACTGTTAGAAGCAATGGCTTGCTTGAAAGTACTTTTGCTTCTACAAGAGGTCGCATGCCAACAGCAACAGGTGCACAGAAGGCTAAACCGGACTGCATTTGGGTTTCTTTCCTGTGTGTTGGAAAAACAATGCGATTGCTCCCAATGCACATGGACTCAGTGTGACAACCATGGGGGAAAGCATGGGTGCAGCCCCCTTCTGCACGCATGGGTGGAGCTGACATATTATAAAATGATTCATGAGCACATGCCAATTCCTGGGGACCTCTGAGCAGCAAGGCAAACCCAGAACAGTTATAACTTGTGTTCAGAGCACACCGCGAATTGGGCTGGTTTTATGGATTCCAGCGGTAGAAAGACACCTTCACATGGCACCTTTCTCTTTGAGAAAACTTAGCAATACCTCAGGGCTGACTGGGTTGTGCTGCTTTGCAATGGGAATATTTTTGTTTAAAATAGTCTCAGATTACAAAAGGCAGCAAACAGTGATGGACGGCTACCTACAGATCAATTGCTTCATCCAGATAAAAGTGACGCTTTTCGACATATCACATGCAATTTTAGAAGACTCCACAAAGCCAAGTCCTCATTCAACATGGAGTTGTCACAAACAGAAATCTTTCTGTGGAACCTGGCTGGCTGTATGCCCCCTCCCACTGCACGACGCAGCACCGAGGCTGGCAGAGGGAGCTCACCAACTCAAGTGTGCGTTTGTTGCTGTTAAGAGTCAGACATTAAATCTCTCTAACTGAGCCTTTAATCTTAATTTAGAAAATGAGCCAACCAACCACCATGCTACCCTGTACCACATGTACTCTGAGCAGTGCTTGGGCTACAGCCAACTTCCAGCAGTGTCCTGTTGGAGAGAAGCATCATGTTACACTCCTGTTACATTACTGCAACAGAGGCTGCAGAATTTATCATCGGGTTGTTGCTCTTGGTTTAGATAACAGGGGAAGATGAGCTCATCTCAAAATCAAATTACATAGAGGAAACAGGCCATCTGAAGAAAGAGCAGTACATTTAGATGGACCACTCTGTAGGTTAAAAGTAAATAAATAGGAGAGCTTTCACAGAGCTGTAGCAAGGGCCAGACTACAGGAAGAAGCTTGAGGGATTACAGCTGGCCATCTAGGGCAAACCAAAGTAAGCCCACATCTATTCTTTTCTATATTTTCAGATGACTTTTCTATACTCTGAATAAATGAAACTATCAGTTGAAACCAAGAAAAACAACAAAGCCCATGGAGAAGCTCTCGGCAGCTGAGGGCAGGGGCAGCTTTGTAACCAACCCAGGGCTGAGCAGCTTCGCAACACGAAAACTGTGTGGGAGACTACAGTGAAATTACACTTTGTTTCTGTTACAGCTCAGTGTAAAACATACCGTCACACAGACTCCCTCACGAAATTCTGGCTGGTATTTGAATGCAACTGCTTGCACAGCCATTTGGTGTGGAGAAGAGCAGTAGTGCACACCACCACATACCACTCCTCTTTGAACTCCCGTTACATGACCACACGCAGCAGCATCCCAAAGACTGACTTTCCGAGCTAAACAAACCAAAGGCAATCTGACATTTCTCTATTACAAGTACATTTCAGAACTGAAGATACCAAGTGAAAACTAAGTACTCCAAAAATACGACTTTCGCTGAGCAGGAACGACCAGGGACTCGAAACAGACTTCCTGTGCTGTTAGGACATACCACACCATTTTCAGGGTTGGAAGCTAAGATAAGGAAGCATCAGAAGTTGCATTTGTCTCTGTTGGAGAAAAGAGTAAGTAGGCATGCTTTGTCCATCAGAAGCAGGCAGTGCTTCCTCACTGCAGGAATATGTTTTTTCCTTTTATGATTGCATCTTCCATTAGGGAGAAATGTTGATGGAGAAATCATTTTGGTTATAAAAAGTTACAAGTGTGGTCTCTGAAGTATACTTCTACCTGTTCAAAACAGAAAGGCAAGTGTACAATGTTTTCTTTTGGATTCTAGAGAGAAAAATTATGATAGCTAAAGCACTACCTTCTGTGGCTCCTTTTACTGAGGTATGTGATCAAGCCAACAATTACATCTGAAAAATGCTAATAACGCATGTATCTAAAAAGTGCAAAGATTTAAAATATGCGCATATCTACTACATGATCGAGTTTAGTGACAGCACCTCAGTTTTCAAGTCTAAATCCAGGACAAACATCAAACCCAGCCTTTTGTGCAAATTAATAGCACGGGCATGATCACTTTGAAACACACAGCGAAGCTATGGAACATGGCACAGAGGAGTCACAGCACCAGCTCCTGCTTTGCTTTCTAATCCTTTCACTATCATTATCCTATCATTAGCTCTTTTCAGTGCCATTGGGGATCACACCATCCTTAATGAGTGCCGTGTACTACATACCTATGTGTGTGTGCATAGGCCTGTGACCTTCTAACAGACCTGGACGACAACATACCATGCGCTGGCCATAAACTGTCATCTGATGATATGCGTTAGACATAAAGTGACCAAAATGAGGAACAGTCTTATTTGAGCAAGTTTTTTAAACTCTGATTTTCCTCCAGTTACCTTTTCAGTACACCCCAAGATGCTTGCTTTTATATCCCAACAATGCTTTTTTTTCAAGCAGGGAAAAGTGGTAGAGAGTAATACAGCTCTCAGACTGTTCATGTAGAGTTAGATCTCCCTTACTTTTCTTGTTGAGTGCCCTGAAACCCAAAGCAGATCATGTGTTACTGTGTTTTCATCTTTGTGACACAGAGGATCTCATGCCCCCAACAAAATAGCTCTGCAGAAATTATTTTACCATTTCAGTATGTAAGAGGTGAATGACTGTATTTTTTGTCTTCAGCTCTTGCTGAAGGTCTTTTTGGTCTTTTCATTTTAATCTTTCAGAGGAAAGGACAAGGAGTTCCTACAATATAGCTTTTCCTAGTTATCTCAAGCATTATTTTTCTGAGGGTTCAACTTCTGAGCATGGTGGTCCGGGAGCACTTGCTGCTGGACCAGAAAGCCTCCAAAACAAATGCAAAAGCCCAAAGACAGATATCTAATTGAGACATTGTTACTGGCACATCTTGTAAGAAAAAAATTGGCTACTTTCTAACCTGTTGCAAGGTCCCTAGAGGCTAGAAGGATCCATACAGCTGGGGTCGATGCTCTCCTTGGTCTTCCTTTAAGATGCCTGTTTGCACTGCAAGCTGGCAGAAGACTGAACAGCTGTGTGGATCAGAACAGCTGATTTCTATTTTAATCACATCCTCTCAGGTAAGAAGGAACACATTGTTAGGAAACAGGCCTGAGTCTTTACTAGCACTCCTTGTATTTCATTTGTGCTCATCTTGGAGACAACACCCACGAGAGGACAAAATCAACAGAAAGGAAAGATGGGAAATGCATCCCATGTCATCACTCGGAACGATACAATAGGAAGATGCAGAAATACAAACGAATAAAGCACTGCCAAAAATGTGAAAACCAACTCCTCACCTCTGCAGATTCTGCATTTGGCTTCAGACAAATAAGGTTGCCCTTCACTGTCAGGCGGCTCAGCTTGCAACAAAGTCCCAAGTACTGCATCTGGTTGATGTCCTCAATATTGTTCCCTTCCAGGTCCAAAACCTCAAGGTGAACCAACCAGGTGAGCTGGCTCAGGTCTGAGATACTGTTATAGGCTATGTAGAGTTCCTCAGCAGAAGTAAATAGAATAAGTAGCATTATTGCACAAGTAACACTCAAGCTTTGCTAAATGTCTTCTAATATTTGAAATATTACATGGCACAGCATGAAATCAGCACGGAAGTGAACATTTTTCAAGTGGGGCTGTTGTCGCCTAAAGTAATTAAGGCTAGTATGGCAGTGAATGCTATGCTACATTAGTCATCTTCAGAATCATACCTGCATGTTACACTTCATTTAAAAAAAAAATACTGTAGTATCTTTTAAATTAACACATGCAATTCAAGGCATCCAATCAAAGTCCTTTAGAAAACAAAGGGTGAGAAGAGAACAAAGACTACAAGTAAAGAGAAGAGTACCAACTGAAGCTAGTTTTGAGATCGTCATTTGGCAGGACACATCTATACTTACTTTTAGAGAGCTGCAGGAAGAGATCCCATCTAAATCTGAGAGCCCACAGCGAGCCATCCACAGGACATGGAGATGGGACAATGTGGTTCCAAGATCCCTTATAAAAGAAACAATTCAAACTCTGTTTGAATGGAACTCAAGACTTGCTTTCTTTTTCCTAAGACAAGGCCACTGCTGCTTCCTTCAAATCTCACATTGTTTACAGAAAATGTCATTAAAAATGTTCACCTTCAAAGGTGGAGAATAAATTCATACCCCTCTCTACCTGTCCTTTTCACAGAAATCTTTGTTCTTGTATGACAACATATCACCTCAGTTTGGTTTGATTAAGATTTTTCCGAAAGCTACATCATTGTAATTCTGTCATAAATCACAGGTAATTGCTAAGAATTAAGTGAGGTTTGCTTCTGCTGGCATCATTTGCTCTACACACATAACCCAAATTAACATATCTGAACTGACTGCTCAGTCATCTCACCCTGTCCTTTTACAGAGTTACCTTTCTTCTGATTTTGCAATTGAAAGGAATAGCACTCTTGCCAAATAATGGTTTTTGAATCAGGAGAAAAATCATAATCCTTTCCATCCTATTTTCCTACCCTTTAGGTCTAGCAAAATATAAATAAGGAATCATTTGTACGAATTCCAAACTTTCTGGTCCTAACCCAGAAAAGCACCTACTGCTTAACTCCATGCACATGTAATGTCCCATCCACACTGCAACAGTGCATAATACAAAGATAATGCAAAATGCAAAAACAGTGGCCAATCAGAATAGGGGCTTAATCACCTTCCATCTTTGGGTAACCTTGAGTTCAAAAAGCCACTACTCAAACATAAACAAAATACAACACTATCAAATCCCAAACCAACCAAAAGCTCAGAATTCTCTACTGCAGATGTGGTATCAGACTATCTGAAGAATAAAAAACTAAACAGTGGGGAACTAAATATAAGGGCAGTTTATCAGAGGAAGTGGAGACTAGCATGGAGTTCACAGAATCACAGCAATGGCTGAGGTTGGAAGGGATCCCTGAAGGTCATCTTGTCCAACCCCTACGCTCAAGCAGGGTCAGCTGTCCAGGACCACATCCAAACAGCTAAAACAGTTCTTAGAGATTCTTGCACTTCAAAATTGTGGATTGTCTATATTTTATAATATCTCTTTTTATAATACACATTATAATAAATAATACATACTTTAAGGTACTGGCTAGGGAAAATTGCAGAAGATAAAAGAATATGGTCATGAGGTCCCTGCTGATCTTGGAATAAAGGTAACAGTACTCTTACTCATGCCTTCTCTTTATGGACCATTCGGAAAAAGAGCAGCTTTGCATTGCCCTCCGGCTTGTTGCAGCTTTGCAGCAAAAAACCCTACAGTCAAATTGGCTGCTTCAGGGATACTGCACAGTGAGCCAGTCCAAGAGGTCATGAAGGAGTGCTTTTCTAAGTGGGGACAGGCGTACTCTTGTCTGCTGTTTTTGTTGTTTCTCCATCATCTGCACACTTGGGAAAGGCCATGTCAGTAGAAAGGAGACTGCATAAGGCTGAATACAGGATGAATGCATGGAAAAATATCCCCAGATGCCTCTCTTCCATGCTTCGCCAAATACAGTGTTGAGTAGGTGTTTCTAGGGTGAAATCAGGGATTTTCACCCCGCTGCCTTCTGAAGCATGGTTTGTCCACGGGTGTCATTCAGACCTACCTCACTTAACCCATCCTCTACCACTGCAGAGGCCCCAGGTATCGCGTGGCTCTGATCATGTCTTCCCTGGATGCTGCAGATCTAAGTAAGCTCATGATGAATACACCATACAATGTGTTTACATAACATTTTATAGCCTTTGTAATACAAACAGTGAATCTGATCCAATGTCCAGAACAAAGCAAATACGAAAAAATCGCTGTCACAGGACACACCTCTTTCCATCTAGGGCTATTCCTCCTTACAGGAGAAAGCCCTCAACTGACATAAACCACAACTCTTCCACCTAATTTTGTGCATCTAGGCAGCTTGCCCATACTGAAACAGGACATCACTGTCCAGTACAGAGACACAAGGATAAAGAAACAGAAACTCCCTTCATGTATAAACAACACGGTTCCTTCTGTAAACTTCCTGCAAACTTACTTCACCTCATCCCTTGGCTATCAGGGCAACGCAGAACACTTGCCACTCTGTCACTGTACTTGTGATCAGATAAGCCCCTAAAAAGATGGCAGTTTGTCACATTTCTTTCCAAGCACTCATTCAGATTTGCCTGACCTGAAGGATCGTAATGTCCCTGTATGCCATCATGTCCCCAGCCTTGCAGAAGATGTTCCAGGGACTATTTACAGTGTGCACATTTTATAAACAAAAAAACCACCAGTTCTAAGGCTTCCTTAAGGAACAGATGCCTCCCAAAGTAATGTTTACAGAAATTTATTATTAGATTTGCAAGCTGTGTGCCTGTAATAAGCCAAAAGTTAAATTAAACTACAAAAGCAGAACCTACCACCAGCTAAGGCCAACACATCCGTAAACACAAATATGGCATTAGGACTAATGTGAAGGAATTACATTGCTCATTTCATGACCCATTTCAAGCACTGATGAGTTTTTCAAATTTCAGACTAATTTTGGTGCAGAATTTTCTTTTCTGTAACCACTGAATATAGGCAAAGGAAAGCAGTCACTCATTTTTGCATCGTTGAAACAAGCATTTCTGATAGATGCTCTACTTATTAGGCCAGCAAAACTGAAGACAATCCTAACCTGATTACTTTACATATGGCATAGTAAGGTATCATTAATGAATTTTATTTTTATTTTTTATTTGTCTTGTACTTCCTAAATGAGGGGCTTTTGCCACAGCAGGAACTTTCAGTAATATGCTTATTCCTAACGTTTCTCTGTCAATATAAAGGATGCCAAAACAAAGCAATGGACTAATTGCCAAGCAATTTTTACACAAGGCCCCGAGAAGAAAAAGGTATCTCCTCTACTGCTAAAATCTTGATCACTTCATGCATTTTGATGAAACAGTTCCCTGCTCCTACTCTGAGGTCAAATAGTCCTAGAGTCAAATCCTATTTCCCTTTGTGTGTTGAGGTTTTCATTTCCAGAGCTGGCTATGGCTACACCCAGTGCACGTGAACGGGGTCAGTCCCTGCTCACACTGTCTGCTTAGTCACGCACAGCATGTATTCACTAAGAATTATTGGCCAACAAGTCTTCAAGCGTTCTCCTGCTGCAGATACCATCAGTAGAAGACACTACTCTAAATTACTTCTAAACTGCCAAGTGTACAGTCTCTAATCCATTCCAGTTTCATTCATGGGTTGCAGCTCTGACTCTCCTACAGCTAACTTTGGTGCAAGTCAAGAGTGGCGTGTTTAAGGTTAATATTAATCCAAGTTGGTAAGTATTACTATTCCAGACAAAGGAATTAAGTCGTATATCCCATGTCTTGGGTACTTGCAAAAGGCAGAACTGCTGTGTGTTTGCAGAGCAACCCAGTGCTTGATAACAGGGTCTCATTATTAAAAAATGCTTATACAGACACTTCAGAAAAGAAAAACACTGGAAACTGGTTTCTTGTGAGGCTAAAGTCGGCTGTCCCAAGCTCATCTTTAACCCGTGAAATAAGACACTAAGAAAGCACGGACTTTGTCGCACTAGGTGTTTGGTATCACTTGGCCCACTTCTGCACTCTATAGTCTATTTCAGGAAAGGGAGCTAGCAAGCCAAGATATCTTCGCCCCCCACCCCCCAAGAAGAACACTCCAGCTCTTATGGAGAGCAAGTGACTGCTGTCCCTCCTTCCCTGCTACCGTAGATAGGCAGCAGTGACGAGAAGAGGCAAAAGGACTTCTTCCTCTGCCCAGCCCTGACCGCCGAACTTCGCTGCAAGTTAAAGCCAAGAACAAAGTTCCCCTTGCTGACTCTGGGGTCATGCTAGCTGCTGGAGGAGCCTAAAATTCTGGGTTATGTAGTCACATTTTGGCCCTGCAGATCTTTACTCCTGCAACTGTAATGAGTCATCTCCAGTCAGAGATGTTATCACAGCAAAGTACATCTGCAAATATTTTATTCGGTAAGTAACAAACTAATCTTTTGGAAGCTGGGTGAATCATGCTGCAGCATCAGAGAAAACTCCCTCATTAATTACTATACAGATAATTGCACCCGAGAGTGCAGCTGTTGTAAGGTGAAACAGCAAAGTAACTCAAAGCAAGCTGATCCTGATAACAGCATACACCTGCATTTCTGAAAATACCGTTGAAATATTCTGGCTGGAGAGAACTAAAAAGCTTGCAAGAGATGGGAATGCCTCCAGCCCTACTGCATCTGGCACGTCCACCTTGGAGGGGGTTAGAGCAAAGCAAGGAGTTGTGTGAGCATGCATGACTGCCATGTGCGTGCAAGTGTGCACATGGGTATGTTTTCATTTATGTTAAGTGCAGAGGGTCAAATCAGCCCAAACTGAGGAGATGCATCTTGTGACTTTTTAACAAGAAATTGAATTAATGGGAATCTGCACTCCAATAATAATTTACCGGGGTAAATTATTTTAATATAATAAACTCTTAATAACATTTTATCAGGTAATAGGAAAGAAAATTCACTGTAATTATACACATAGTGAAACAAAACACTCCCCCCAAATAATCATTGACTGAGACCAAAATTAATGCAACACATGTGAGAGACCAGAACCCTCCTGTATTAGGCATGATATAAACGTATAGAAAATGACAGCATCTGTTCCAAATATAGGATAGATAATATGATTGAGAAGTTTGACAGCTGAAATAGGAAAAAGATGAGACACTGTACAAAGCTGGTGGCAGCTGGTCGTACGACACAGCACAGGACCGCCCCAGGGATGTGCAAACTACAAAGACTATATAGAAGGAATCAGGGGATACTGTACAGGAAACGTATCTCCTGTTAATATACATAATGGATAATTCAATTCCAGTGGACAAGTGTCCTGTCCTGAGTGACGTAGAAGCTGTGAACTTTACAGAAAGGGCAAGGAATTAATAGCCAAAGCAATTATATATTCTGCTCACTTCTGCTATGGTTCATGCAGGTCAGATTTGAA